CTATCATTCCATCTGTTGTGGTTTGTGTCTGCATGTTCCCCCAAATCCTCATGCAGTCATGGGCGGGCTTCTAGATTTTTGATTGATCCATAGTCCAATTCTGGGCTTATGGGTGTGAGTGCTACATCTGCCCTGGGGCAGGTATTTTGCATACAATGTAAGGGAGGGAAAGAGGCTTGCTCTTCCCTCTGCCACTTCTCCCTTTTGCTCTGGTTGCTTTTGCTATCTTTTGCCGCCATGATCAGTTATCCTCTGCCATGTGCCGCTCTGCCTTGGAGCCAGCCGAGTTTGACCTGAAACTTCCACAAACTGTGAGCTAAATAAACCTTTCCTTCCTTAATTTTGGGCATCAGGTATTTTGTCTCAGCAATGAGAGAAAAGTAACCAAGACACCAGCCTTTATGTGCTTTCTAAACCTGTCCTGCAGTTTTATAACCAGTTATAAAACACATTCAAATTATTTTTTTTTGAGTTAATTTATTGTAAACACAGTTATAGCCTCAGCCATCTTTGTGTGTCTGTCTGATAATTCCCTTCTAGCAAATTTCTACAAGGCAGTTTAAAATATATGATCTTTAGTTTTCCTGTAAAGTGAGATTAATAATAATACCCAATCTGCTGGTTTGTTTGGAGGGTAAATGTGATGATGTATGAAAATTCTTTACAATCCATAAATTTCTGTGCACATACAGGACACAGGTTATTGTCACCACCTGCTTAACCCTGGGAGAACCCCTGAAAGGCTTTGATCTAGCTCCAAGATGAAGCTTTACATTGTCAATCTTTGAAATATTTTGAAAGCCCCAAAGTTGTTCGGCTAACAGTTTCATTTGTCCTGATGCTATCAACTTCACTTTCTAGTTTCTCTATTCTAAGAGGAGATGATCTTAGAAAACTCTGTGCTGTATGTATACCTGGTAAGCCATCATTTTTCCAAAGAGTGGAATAGGGAGCTGCAGGCTATGGGTCCTCATGGGTGGCATTTGCCAGTATGTGGTCTCAAGAATAGTTGGCTAAGAATTCACTCTTCAAACCAAAGTGAGCAATCTCTTTTGAGCTCCTGGGTTGATCTAGTCTATTACATTCAGCATGGATCTATTTTTTAAAAAAAAAATCCATTCAAACACGTAAGGTAAAAATTGCCTTATTGGCTTTTTGCCTGAAATTTTGGCAGAGCATAGACAGATTTCAACATTTATTGCCCTTTGAGTGATTTTGAGCTTTGTTCCAGGAAAAATACAATTAATCTTGTGGCAGCCATGATTATCAATCCGTACGAGAGGCAAGTTGTTTCAGATATTACACAGAGCCTCTAACTCCTTTGTATGTGCTCATCTTTTTGGCTGAGAGTGAGTGTAACGCACTCCAGGGGAAGCCTCTTGTCTCCATTTGTGTAAATGTCTTGCGTGGGCTGGGGGTGGGTGCTTTTCACTTCCAGCTGTGCTCCATCAGTCCTGGGAACACATCTGGGAAAGTAGGTGTGAGAGGTCCTCATGAGTGTACGGGGAGGAGGGTGTAACAAGTGTCACCAGGGAGTGTGAGCAAGATCTGGTTGACCTGCTTTCGTCCTGGACGGTATGTTGTTGGACTCTGTGGCTGGGGGAAGGGAGGAGGGCTGTTGTCTTCATATTTTTGAGGTGGTGCCATTGGTTTTCTTCTTTGCACAGTCTTGGTTTTCATAACAGTGTATCATAGCATGAAGCTTTATGAGGTCCAGGCCAACTGAGAGTCCTAGAGCAACTGGACATGTTCCTTTTACCTCCATTAGGTTTTCAGAGCTTGGTTTCAGCCTGTCTTTGAATCTGGCCTCAGCTGGTTTATTTTCGTTGCCTTGATTATTGCCCATACTAATTCTATGGCAGTAGACACTGGGAGTATTCTAACGTTTGCTCTGTCACTGAACTAAATTGTGATCTTCATTGAAGTTGCTAATATCTCTAGGTCAGACTTCCTTGTCTGTATAAGAAGGTGGATTAGATAATGATTTCTCAAACTTCTTTACTTGAGAACACCTCTGCTTGACTCCAATAAGTGCCCTACGCTCCTGCTAACCTGAATATAGTGTGCTTATTTTGTTTCTTTGCAAAGTCCCTATATCATCCCTCTTTTACCTATTACAACTGCCTATTTCTCATATCTTTGCAGCTGCTGCCATAGTCATGTTACATGAGCTGACTCACTTGCCCTACCTGTCTTCTTGTCTCCATACATGTTTTCACTCTACATCCAAGTTTTCTTGTCAGTTCCTCTCTTGGGATAGCATACAATCTTTTAATTCTTTCCTATTACTCCAGTGATAAAGTCCAACACGCTAAATGGATAACCCAGGTGGCACTGATCTGCCTCTTTGGTGTCACCTCATGTCACTTACTCTTCTCTCCTTCTTTGAGATGGCCACTCTGGCCTTAGTGCAATAGGACCTCTGTGTAAATGACTTCCTCTGCATGGATTATCCTGTCAGTTAACTAGCTTTACGAGTCAGTTTCTCCTAATTTTTGCATCTCATAGCTGAGTTTTCTAGACAAGGTCAGAGTCCTCTGTTAAGAGTTCTGTAATGGAGTGCTCTTTCATTATAGCATCATCTCAGGGGCTTTTGTTGGGTCTGCCTTAAGAGATCCTGGGCTCAGCATGGCATCCACAGAGTTCAGCACAGGGCTTGGCACATAATAGGTACACCATAGATACTGTCAAAGGAAGAGAGGGAAGGAGGGATATGAATGAAACATACCAAACAGCTGAGTTATTCGGGATAAATGCCCAGTTTCCTATGCAAGGTTTTAAAATAGTGGACACAGTGTGTCCCATTCTCCAAGTACTACAACTCAGACTGGCACTGTGGGTGTAGGCGGGAGAAAACAACATGTCTATTCCTGCTTCCATTTGTACCTTTCTTTGCATCCCTGCCGTGGGTGAGGCGAGGAACTGATGGGGGCAGTGGCAGTGTATAATCTATCCTTTGGATTGATTAGCCCCTGGTAGGGTTCAGGCAAAGCAATAATACAGAGTAGAATGTGACATGGGAATCACTAGTTCTGGTGGCAGGCATTAATGAAGATAAATCACATAGGCAATTGTTTTTCTTCCCCTCTCCTGTTGCAGAGGACCTTAAAAATCACCCAGCCCAGTATTTTCCCAGTCCCCTACTTCATCATCATTTCCTGGGAAGTTTGCTGAAATATAGACCTCCAGATCCAGTGCACAAATTTTGAGTCAACAGTTCTATGGAGATTTTGACTTCCTAGGTCTATGGTAGGGTGTAGACCTCTGCTTTACCAAGTAGGGTTTTGGGAATTCAAATGTTCAATCTGACTAGGAAACAGTGACCTTGGGTCTAAGCTTTTTATGTCATTGCATCTTTGTTACAACTTTGAATGCCATGTAAGCATGGGATTGCTCAGACAGGCTTCTTTGTCTTACCTACTCTCATTAAGAAAGGTTATATTCTTTTAGTTTGATATGATATTTAATTTTTTGAAGTGCTCACACATCTTTTATCACATTGATTCTCACAAGAACTCTTTGAGGTCAGTGGGGTTTGCACAAGTCTTGCTGTTTTAGCAGATGTAGGTACTGAGGGCAGCTAAGGGTAGACTTGCTAATGTTCCCTCACATATTAGTACCACTGCTGGTTCCACAGTCCTGCTGCTTGTATTCCTCGCTGGGAGATGCTCACACTTCACTCGAGAATGCCACACACCTTATTTATTGTCTTATAATACTTAATTTCTGTATTAAATGTTTGCAATTAGCCTTGAAAGAAATGATTGATAGCCTTTCCTCATTTTTAAAAAGGGCGCTTTATAGATACATAAAGGTAAGAAGCTGTTAGGGGAGATTTTATGGCAGATGGCTCTTGGCAGCAATGGTTTTTCTTTTATTGCAGTCTGGAAATTTTCCTGGGTAATAACTTTCTTTTCTTTTAACATGCATAAAATAAAGAGGTTCTAGATAGTTGGATTGTTATCAAATGATTTTCCAAAGACAGCCATAAATTGTCAATACTATTTCGGTGAAAAAAAAACAAGATTTGTCCACATCTGGAAAACCAATGTATGAATAAAATTTGGAATTTTCTTTTTTTGTGGGTCATGATATTTGGCTACTCGAACTATTATTCCTTTACAGGCAATTAGACTGGAGAGTTGGGATAAAAAAGTTTTGGGAAAGGTATTCATGCAGCTTCCCCAAATGGTAATAATTCTCTTATGAATGCAGAAATTTACATTTAATCTTGCTCTCTTCAAAGTTGGGAGAACAAAGAGTGCTTCTTCCGTTTAAGGTAAAAAGATAGAAAATCTTAATCATGAAAACTAGCACAGAGAGAAAGTTGATAGAACTGAAAGCAAAACATATTAGTTATATTTATAAATTCATTCAACCAGTATTTTGAATCTCTCTTGTGTGACCATATGCCAGACTGTGTTTTAGGCAATGAAGATTACAATACTAGAGATTAATGAGTTACAGCCTACCAGGAGAATGGCATTGGATAGAACCTTGTACTGTGCGGTATAAAGAAATCCTTATCAAAATTGTAATTGTTGATTTATTTAGTGATTAATTTAAACCATTTTGTAAACATCAACTCACTTAATCCCTACAATAACCCTGAAATGTAGAGGTGATTATCAACTTCATTCCTTCACTGCAGAAAGTGAGGGAAGTGAAGGTTAAGTGAAGGCCAAAGATCACAGAGGTAGTAGACAGCAGCCCTTAGGATTTACACCCGTCTGGTTCCTAAGCCTGTGCACTTACAGAGTGAGTCCCTTCACTGAGTGATGCAGCATGGATGAACGAATGAAAGGCTGGTAATGCTGATGGGGCTTTTCAAGGCAGTTGCACAATATAGCAAAGGTGTTTAAACCAATCTGAGTGAGTGTTTTCAAAGTGGCATTTAAACTGAGTTCTAGGGTGGAACAATGGATGAGAGTCATAGAATCTTCCAGAATGGGAAGGTCAGGAATACAGCAGAGCTCTGAATTCAGAAGACACCACTTACTCTGCTACATCATTACTTTCTACCAAGGCTTCCTAGCCCTTTCATATCATGGCACACAAAGGAAATGACAATATTGGGATGGTAAAAGTACGTTAAATAGGGGCAGAAGCTTGTGGCTAGTGGGGGTTGCAAGGACTCTGGTGCCTCAGGCCCCGTCCTGATGGCTGGATATGTCTGTGACTGCTCTCAATACTCATAATTTGGTGCAAGACCTGGCCCTAAGAACCACTATGGATGCACTGTGAATGGAATGGTTCCCCTGAACTGTTCCTTTCATGTTTAACTTCAGATCTTTCTGTCCCCTTCCCTCTCAAGTCCAGCCCCACGGCATCCCTGAAAATCTGGAGACCATAGACGGAAGTATCCTCTCCCTTCCAGCCTTCCTAACACTCCAAATAGACCTTTCTTGCCAAATAAGTGGCCACACTTTCACAAAATTAATTTGTTTGATAGAAGCAATCTAATTACACTTACAGTAAGCTGTGAAAGACTGACATGCTAGTCACTCTTCTAGAAGGATAAGGAGATTTAAGTGAAAGGAGTGAGCCTTATAAATCCAAGAAATCCAGTGACATTGCCAGGTAAAGGAGATGGCCTCCTTCTGCTACCTCCATAAATCCAGATGAGGTACACTTTTAGGCTTATGGGTTATGTTTCACTACCTGAAAATCTGGGAGCTCAGAGTGCCAAGTAAGTTTTTTTTTTTTTTTTTTTAATTGCTGGATTGTTGCATAGAGAATGCTTAATGAGATTTGAGGAAGAAACATTGACAAATGAAATAGATCTAGTACTGCAGCTCTGTTTGCAGGTGGGTGAGCGTCTGACTGAAAGTGTAGCCCTTCTGATTTTTTTGTGTGGAAGGTAGCAGAGTTATGAGAGAGCAGGCAGAAACTTGCAAGACATCTTAGGGCCTAGGCTTGGAGCTGACACACTGTTATATCTACTCTCTAGGCCAGGGGTGGTGGACCTATGGCATCTGTGCTGCAGTAGGCACGCAGCGCTCACTTTGCTGGCATATGAGTCAAGTTGCCGCAGCAGCTGAGCATTGGATAACAGTTGTTTTTCTTTTTTCTGAGCTAAAACCTCAATATTCAGGTTTAATTGCAGTGTTGCCATTTTGAAACAAGTAAGTGGGCTTGGGTTGCTGTTTGGCATTGTGTCTAAAGGAGTCGCCATCACTGCTATAGGCCAAGGTGATGAATGTACATCAAGAAAGCAAGGATAGGTTAAGAACTGGAGCCACTAGTGCAGCCCATACATTAGTAGGTAACGAATTCACAATCTGAAGTGTATGTATATGTATATATATTTTGGGGGGTGAGAGTGGTAATGAATGAATATGGAGAGTGAAGGGAGATAGACAAAATAGAGGTGATCCCAGGGCTAACATAATGGTCTGTGTTGTGCTCTTGTGTACACACACACACACACACGTGTGCACACACACATGCACATGCATGTGCATGTGCATGCACACACACACACAGGGTTAAATCTAAAGGAGATACAAACACTTTAAAAACCAACCAAATAAATCTTCCTACCGTTTGTACTAAAACACCTCTATCCTCTATTTTCCTAAGTATTGTCTGTATTTTTATGCTTTAATTTATGCTTCAATTCTTACCTTAGCTTATTTACTCAATTAAAAAAGAGATTCAACCATGGAAAACTCCATCACTCATCATCCAGTAAGATTTGCTCTGGAGAAGGGTGCATATGATTTTGCAGGCTCATTAACTATTCCTTTTTTAATTGCATATTCTGGATGCTGTTGGTTTATGTAAATACTTCTTTGGTGTTAAAAGTGACCTTGTTACGATCTCCTATTGCTTATTAGGAATGTGAAGATAGGTCACCTCTGGAGATTTTCAGAAAGGACTATTTGATTCGATACTAACTGGTTTTTTCAGGTCATGGAACAAACATTTATTTAAGTAACTGTTTGTGGGGACAAACTCTTACCTAAGTAAAATGATGTAAGTATTAGTTTATAGGCAAATTTTAAAAAAAAGTCTACTGGAGGAAAGGATTAAGTGAAATTCCTTAAACAGATTTTTAAGACCGCCATGGATGCCTTTTGTCTGTCTTGAGTAAGTGTGTTGCTCTTTAATGAGATTATTTTGATGTTTTGAGTACAATGTATAACAAAGATTTCTTTCTATTCCTCTTTCTCCTGAGGAAATATCTTTTTGTTGGGCTAACTGTTGATAGCTGAATTATTATACCCAATTGTTCTGATTTATATATTCTAGGTCTGCCTATAGGATTTTACATTCAGCCTGCCTTTTGGGCTTTGTCTACACTAGGTAACCAGATCGACCGCTTTTTTTTCTTTTGCCATCTAGCAAGTCTGTGGCATTGATTCTGCTGTGATTTCTACATTTTTATCCTCATAGGTGCTGCTCTTCAACTCCTGTCCCTGAGATGTGGTAAAATGACCACTGTACTCCACAGAAATTGTTCCTGGGTTTGGCTCCTCCAGGAGTAGCCTGTGATAGTAGGAGGAGCACATTAATTCACACAGTTTCAGTTTTCTTATTGCAAAACAAGAGAGTCAGGTTTAATAGTCTCTTTTCAACTCTAACGTTCTTAGACTATAAGTTTCTGCAGTCTGTACTGTGATTCTTTGATGCAGATTGAGCACTTCAGAGAAGTTAAAGCCTTGCCAAGAGCCCGGAGCTTGTTCAGAGCAGTGTAGGAATAGAATCTGCACCTGTGCTATCCAGGTCCTTCACACCCCCTCATCCCACCTTGCTCCTTCACAAGCCCCTCTCTTTGCTGGGTCTCTCATGTGCAAAGTGTCTGTACTATGCGCTTTGGTACAATGTGTGTATGGTATAATTTAATGAACTGATTTTTTAACTGTAATCACCATTTATTGATGCTTATTGGCTTCTAAAAGACAGAACTATGGCATTTCTCCCTTTCTTATTTTCATCTGACAGTAGTTTATCGAATGGTGAACACCTTCTCTGTACCTGGGACTACACTGTGTGTTGAGGATACAATGATGTTGGGGAAGACATGAACCTGTGTTAGAGCAGAACCTGGCAACTGGCTGAATTTCAAGGATGGGTAAATTTTGCTCTGGATTCAATGTAAGGGTTTCCTTTGCCTTGGTTTCCTTTTGAACCAAACATCTTACGCTAGAAGTGACAATGATACATGTTGATAATGAAACTCACTAGCCCTCTCCGGTTTATGGAAAGGTGGGTGGGTTTTCTGGGTAGTCTTGTCAATCTATGTGGAGGGATATGCTGTTCGTATTTTATAACTTCATTTAATTTAATATCCACGCACACAAAATACAACCTCATTCAGTAGAATTTCGACCCTGAATGAAGCATGACATACAGGTCTAATGTGTAATTAATACGTAATTCTAGACCTGAAAAAAATCTGACTGCAGTAAGATATAATCTCCCCCACCCCTGCTGTCCTTCTCTCTGCCTGGTTTCAATACTAGATGTTTTTAAATTTACATTTTAAAGGAATCTTTCTATAATCATTTCCATAATCAAGGAACTTACATTCTCAGTGACTGTTTGGTGTGCTGACTCACAATGAACTGCGCTATACTTTGGCTCAGATGTGTCACTCAAGGGTTTGTGTGCTGAAGGCTTGACCTTCAGTGTGGTGCTCTGGGGAGGTGGAAGTCTTTAGGAGGTGGGGCCCAGTGGGAGGTTATTGCTGGTGCACCCTCAAAGGAGATCGTGGGTGGTGGTCTAATTCTCTTTCCTTTTCTCCCTTTCACTTTCCTGCATGAGGAGAGTGGATTTTCCTCCACCAAATGCTCCCACCCCAGTGGCCTCTGTGGCTGCAGGGTCTAAGTCACAGTCATTTTTCAGAGATGAAACCTCTGAAACTGTGATCCCAAATAAACCTTTATGTTTTCTAAGTTAGTTTATTTGAGGCATTTGATAGAGTAACAGAAAACTGACTAACATAAATCATTTGTAGTCCTCTCCCTCTAATGGTCATTGTACCTCCTTCAGATAATTTGCCCATGCTACTTGGTTTTATGCTATGAAATTTTCCTACAGTTTGGCCCTACGGCTGCAGAAGGCAGGCAGTTTCTGTCCACAGTCACACTGGTGGTTTTGTTAACTTATCCACACTGGTGGTTTTGTTAACTTCAGGAGGTTTATAGAGTTTGCTTCTTGTTTTTGCTGTTGAAGATTTTGTGATTAATTCGGTAGCCTCTTACTTTTTGTGTCTAAAATAAAGGTAATAATTTCAATGACATTAGATTCATGTGAACATTTAGTGAAATGATGCTTGTAAAAGAATTCAATTCTATATAAGAGACAGAATAGCTGTTTAACAAATAATTGTCACATCTGACTTAGTTGTAAAGATATTAAAAGGCATTGAAAGATGGGGAAATGCAATAATTTCACTCCTTAATATGATTTATCTTTTCATGATAATGGCTTAAGTTTTAAGGATTTGGAGGTTAAAATACTTAGCTTTGTCACTTACTAACTTAGACATTTTATTGTAGTTCTTTTTGGCTTAATTCCCTAATCTGTAAAAATGGAATTAATGCTAATTACCTCATCAGGTTGTTGTGAAGATGTGTTAATTTATATAAAACATTCAGAACAGTATTAGTGTCTCATGGGCAAAAGGAGCTATTATTCCATTACTTTAAATTTTTTGTCCACTTTCATGTGCATGTTTATTTCACTATAATTTTAAGATCTGCATAATTTTATGTTTTAAGATTTTAATTTAAACACATTTGCATAGAAATTTAATTTTAAGTAGTTTTACGAGTGAATCAAAAACATTGATTATTTATGTTATTCACCATTTAAAAAAGTATTTTAGATAGGTTAATACATTTGATATTCGTCAGTTTTGAATGATAACTTTACAGTAAAAATTCAGAAGTGCATCCTTGTGCTAAGAGGTGTAAGTATCCTGTGGGTTCTTATCTACAGCTGTATTACTTTCCAAATGGATTGCATCAGTACACATGAGTTTCATAGGTTTCACAGGATGTAGTAGGATTTTGGCAATTTAGTCACAGGATCTGGCCTTTGTACAGTCACCTTGAAGAAGCAGTGAGCCTAGAAATTAAAAACTGATGTCTGCTTTGTTCATTTTTTACCTGATCCTCCTCCCCAGCCCATGGAAGACGGAGGTGAGGTAACTGTGTGGGCAACTTTACTGATCTCAGGAAATTACTGAACGGGATTCCCATGGGCCACTCTGTAGTTCTCTCTTACTAGATCACTCTCCACTCATTTCAGAATCTGCCCAGGATTTTCTCCATTCTTGGACTCCTGTTTTTGGATTCTATGTCCTCATTTTGCTCCTCAACCCTCACCCTACCCCTCAAATATCTTATTTCTGATCATCTCTTGTTTTTTTGACACAAGTAGGCTTCTGAATCTGGGGTTAAACTATACTTGGCTCTAAAGAGTTTTTCCAGGATTCCAGGTGGGTGCATAAGCTCTTGTTTTAATGATGGTATTTTGCACTTGCCCTGCAATAATAAAAGTAGTCTCCTCTGTGCATGAGGAGCACACACAAAGAGAGGAATTGGCCAGGGTTATAGCTCAGTGGTGCGGTGCCTGCCTGGCAAGTGTGAGGTCATGGGTTTGATTCCCAGTACCAAAAAACTTCCCCCAAAACGAAAAACAGCCCCTTCCAAAAAAAAAAGAGGAATTGAACTCAAAACTCTGAGTGCAGGTCCAAAAGTCTGACTGTCAGATTCCAAAGGGTCCAACTTCCAGGCAAGAACTGCTGTTTCTCTAGAAAAACAGCACCTTCTTTAAAAAACACATGTGGAGAAGAATCATTTAGAAATATTTCTTAAAGTTGAACATACACATACACTATGACTTAGCAATTCTGTTCCTAGGAATAAATGCAACAGAAAAGGTTGTATATGTCAACGGAAAGACGTGCACTAGCGTGTCATAGCAACATTGTTCACAATAACAAGGTGGAAGCAGAACGCGCATCTAGGGAAAATGGACAAATGAAGTGCTAAGTATTACAAAGAAGTATTATTCAGAAAAGAGAATGAATTAACTGAAACTACTTGCAGCCACCTGGATGAACCTCACAGCTATACTGTGGAAGGAAAGAAGCCAATCAGATAAGACTGCGTACTGTATGATTCCATTCAATTTAACGTTAGGCTAATGGCTTCCAGTGGTGGAGTGACGGGAGTGTGAGTGGGCTGCTGGAGTCCTGGTGATGTTCTGCTTCTTGATCTTCATGCTGGATGCAAAGATTCACTGAGTTCTACACTTAAGGTGTGATGCATTTCTTTGCCCATATAATAGGCAACAAATATTTCAGTTATCAACCTAAGTGTTGACTTTGTTACCCATTATTTAGAATGATTTTTAGGCCACCTGTGTCATCACAGGTTACCATTTAAAATGCAAGATGACTTGCAATGGCATTTCTGCCAGTGATTCTTCTGTCTCAGTATTATTTCTGAGTAGGATGCAGGATTGTGTCATATGCATTTCTTCGCACTCAGTGCTTACTAAAAGCTTGGCATATAGAGAGTGATCAATATGTTGAGATAAACTATTTGCTGAGAAGGGGAAAGAAAGCCTTCCTGGGATTTAGGTAACTAAAGATTTATCCAAATAATTGTCGCAAAAGAAAAAAAAAGCCAGAACTTACTTAGCAATCTAGTGAATATTGAGTGGTCCCAGGAGATTTGGTTCTCTGGAAGCAGACTCGCTGTTTTCACAGCAGTCTTAATGAGCACGAGTAAATCAGAAGGGCCAAGTCCCTTGGTCATGCCTGTCAAGCTGCAGGAAGGGGAAAACTGAAATAAGTTTGTGCCTGAGCTCAGTGAGCTGCAGGGAAGAAAACTTGTTTTGAAGTGGCTGAGTTGGACCAAAGGAAAGCAGGCTGAGAGGGCGGGCCATAACCAGATCAGTGTGAGGAATGGTGGCTGAATCGTGGCAGTGGTCAAGACATAGTGGTTGATAGAAGAAAGAGTTTGAAACCTGAAGTGTCATAGAGCAAGAACATGACATTAGTAAGTAAAATTCTGAAACATACTTGATTAAAGGATCCAGAGCGGATTAGTAAGCATTGTCTTAGTTACTTTTCCATGGTTGAGACAAATATCTCAACACCCACAGTTAAGGGAGAAAGGTTTATTCTGGTTCACAGTTTGTAGAAGTTTCAGTCCATAAGTGGCTGGCTCCAAGGTAGGGAGGCATGACAGAGGGGCATTGCAGAGGAGAAACAGTTCATGGTAGAGCAGGCAGGAGATGGTGAGGCAGCAAGCAGCAGCCTGCTTTCCTTCTGTCCCTTTATATTCCATCCAGGTTACAAGATTGTTGATTGGTGCAATCCACACCCAGGGTGGGGTTTCTATTATCCGTACCCAGAGCTATGGTAAACTCATTTAGTTATCACATGCCCTTAATCCATACTCACATACCCCAGATGCAGCCACCTCTGAAAAGCTCCACCTATGATTGCATGAGGTTTTGATGGGACATCCAGGTACAAGCCATAACATTTTATTTTATTTAAAATTTTATTTAGTATATGTTTGTAATACATACTGATTACATGCATAATGGGCATTTGGTACATGTATGTAAACATAACTTAATTCCCTTTATGTCCCCTTCTTTTCTCTTTCCTATCCTGGCTGCATCTTTTCTTTTTTATTTCCCTACCCTCTCTTGTCATCCCTCCATCTCTTGATCTTCTTCACATTTGAGAAAGATATATCTCCTGACTTTCTATTATATAACTTTTATTTTGTTCTTTATTAATACTTTGGGTTTCTCATATAAGACATTATGTGATATTTAAGCTTGTGTGTATGATTTATTTTGCTCAACTTTACAGTCTCAAGATGCATCCATTTTCTTACAAATGTCTCGTTTATCCTTCTTTAAAGCATAGTAGTACTCTATTGTGTGTAAATGCCACAATTTCTTTATCCATTCATTATTAAGCATTTTACTCTGTGCAGCACTTTGTTAAGTAATTTTAAAATATCCACTCCCATTTAATTCTCATAGTAACCTGATGAAGGATTTGTTGTTGTGTCTATTTTGCAGTCAAGTAGCTGAGGTTAATAGCAAAGTATAAGTCATTCAAGATTACATAACTTTTTCTGATCAAAAATGTTACTTTTTAATTATCTAGTTATATAGCTCAGATTCAAAGGCAGAATTCTAGCATTTAGGTAGATTTAAGGAGAGAGATCAAACCTGAGAGTAGAAGTCAGAGCCCTAGATTGATAGCCCTTGGATATCTGGATAGGTGATGAAGGCAGAGGTAGCATCATGGAGAAAGAAGAGAGGACCCTGTGTTGAACAGACATCACGCAGCTAGTTCTTGAATACCTTGACAGCAGTTCCTATGATGGCCACTGGAGACACCTAGATAATGGATGCATGAATTCCAGAGCTCAGGTCCCCAGGATCAATGCAGAACCAGATTATTACCATCAGATACAAAGGCTGAAGGACAGTTCAGGCAAGGATGCGTTAACACTGATTTTTTTTCACCTATTCAATCTCTTTCAAAACTTAGGGGAAGGCTGATATTTAGAAGGGAGATCAAGGGGCCTTGGTCATGGGGAAAGTACAGCTTAGGGTCTGGGAGGGAAGAGGCTAGGACAAAGCCATTCTGCTTGTCTAGCACCCATTAGGAAATTACTTCTCTTCTTTCTGAGGTGATCTAGTGAGCTGTTAGGCATGGTAACCCATCCATACTCAGTAAAGGGATGACCGTGAGAGCTATTTTAAATCCTAAGTGATATGACAAAGATTAAAAATAGGTAGAGAAGGTTTATTTGAAGAAGACAACCTGTACTCTCTATGTTTTTCTTAATATGTAAAACCCATAAGAGACTGGCTTCTATCCTTTCTGAGACCTTGTTCTTTGCCCTGTCCTTAGGTTCAATAAACTGACTCAGCCATCTAAAGATTTCCATATTTGTTAACTAGCTGGGTAAAATTTCTGTTGCTTACAACTCCCAAACCTGACTAATACAGAGGCAGTATGTTCATCTAGTAAAGAAAATAGAACACGACTCCTTTACAAGAAGAGACACTTTTTTCATTTTTTAATTTAGAGATTCTGATTCAAGATCTTCTTTGTGGTAAGTGCTCAATAAATGTGGGTTGAATAAAAAAATGAACACAAAGTTCATTTTACATCATTCAGCCTACTGTGGTCATGTAGACATGGTTTAGAACTAATGACAAATAAGGTGCATGACAGTATCTTTAAACCTTCATGCAATCATTTTTAATCCAGCCAAGAATACTTCCTGTTTTGCAAGTAAAACAAAGCACATCTTCATTTTTATAGCAGTCATCATTTCTCTTGAGAGAAATGGAGTTATTGTAATTCCAGCTTAGTTGAAATACATAAGGCTTACTCATCCTGTGCATAAAATTGATAACTTGTGCATTTGGGACTGTCTATTTCTTTCCTATTAATCCATTTTAGACTTTATAAGTCAACTGAGCATTCAGCTTTTGAAAAATGATTCTGGAAAATTATTTTGCATAAGTACTAGTAAATACTGGCACATGTTCCTGGCAGAGAATGGAAATAATCCATTTAGTCTCTGGTGGCCCCAGGAGCAGAAGTAGTGACTAGAGAATTAACTGAGTTTCAATGGCAGCAAAGTATGTGCTGGTCAGTTCTACTTTCTGAATTTCTTTCCATTTAATGAGGTTGATTTATTTTATTTCTTTCCTCAATCCAGCTTTGTCTACTTAGATTTGGTGAATTTCTCTCCAGTGCATTATAATCTGGTATGTGTGTGTGTGTGTGTGCGTGCATGTTTGGTACTGGGGATTGAACTCAGGGCCTTGTGTATGCTAGGCAAGCACTCTACCACTGAGCTACATCCCTGGCCCATGGAAGATTTATGAGAGAAGTGCACACAAGTGCATCAATAACCAGAGTGACCGGGAATGGGAAAAATATTGCTTTTTTCTTCGGATTCACAAATGTGACCAATTGGAAGTTTCTAATGATATTATTAAGTTTATGTTTGTAGACTGTAAGGATGGTCAAGCTGTTAAATTTTAAATAAATTGCAAAGTATGGGATATTTTGCAGCTGTAAAATGACATATATGAATATTGGCAGAGTCAGCCTATTTACCTCTACGATTGGCCATCTGCTAAAAGAATAGAAATTGTGGCTCCTTAGAAAAAGCCTGATTTTATATAGATTGGCGAGAGCTTCTAATCTTTGTAGATGACTGTGCCCTGTTGTTTACAAAGAAGGGAGTGGGTTATTTGATTCCCTGTGGCTGTTGCTTTATGTGAATCTGACTTTAAATCAGGTCTATAGTAATACGGTGAGAGATTAATATAATTAGTTTCATAATTAAACCCAAACCAAAATCTTCCATCAAATATTTTGTGGCTGACTTATTTTAGATCCAAAATTTGAAAAGTTGCTGCAACTACATTTACAATTTTTGTTAATGTAAACCTGAACCAATTTAATTAGTTGATTTTTTGAAGGAATTAATTTGTTTCTCATAATTAGTCCCTCCTCTAGTCTAAATCATTTTGTTTTAAAGGGTGCTTAAAAGTTAACTATTTTTCTATTTCACAAAATTAGCTTGAAAATGATGGTGAGTATAGGTGGATAATTAAAGCTGTAAAACTGCATGAAGTACAAAAGGAAGGGACTTTTTTTTCAACATCACAAACCTGAGCTTTATTTAAAAAGCATAAAGATCAACCTAAGAAAATGTTCTTTTACCTGGCAAGCTCAAGGTCCTGAGTTTGATTCACAGTACAAAAAAAAAAAAAACCCAAAAAACAAAAAACTTACTTTTAGAAAGTGATTGCTCCAACTGGATTGTGCTAGGCCAGGCAGGTGGTAGAAACCAGTTCTCAACCAGTAAATGAGGTCTAAATTGATCGTTCAGAATGATGCTCCAGAGGAGGGCTAAACCTTAAGGTGAAGCAGAGACAGTGACAACGGCAAATCTATGGACTGGACCGGATGCTGGGGGCTGCTTTCAGAGTTAGTCCCTGAAACTGTAAATCTCAGCCTCAGAGTGTTGGCAGTCAGAAAAAGGCCCAAAGATTAGTAAATTTCATAGGCTGGGACCAGTAAATAGAAGTCTATTTTGTCAACCAAGAACAAAAACACAGCAAAAAAGGACTGAGTAACAGCATTAGGGCTTTGGGAAAAGGTTTTGGAATCAAGAATTTAGAATTGAGGAATGGGGGCTGGGGCTTAAATGAGGCAGGATTTTGAGGTTAGAGTCTTGTTATGGGCAGAACTGTGTCCCCCAAAATTATATGGTGAAGTCCTAACCTGTGAATATGACCCTGTTTGGAAATAAGGTTTCCATGACTTAGTCAAGTTAAAATGAAGATGTTAGGGTGGGCCCTCGTCCCCTTGACTAGAGCCCTTCTAGTAAGGAGGCAATGCGATGTGAAGACAGACACACAAGGAGAACCCACGTGATGACGGAGGCAGGACTGGAATGACGCAGCTGCAAGCCAAGGATGCCAAAGATTGACAGTGACTGCCAGAAGCTAGACAGGAGTGAGGAGGGATCCTCCCCGGAGTCGCAGAGGGAGCACGGCTCCGCTGACAACTTGGTTTTGTACTTTTAACTCCTAGAAGTCTGAAGCCAAAAAAAATTCTGTTGTGTTAAGCCAGTCAGTGAGTGCTACATTGTTATAGCAACCCTAGTTAAACCAAAGCAAGTCTCCCTGTGTCCCTCCTCTTGTGCTGGGTTTAACCTTGTGCTGGGTTTAAGTCTAATTCCCTAGAACTCTGAGAGTGGGAAATGGAAGAGGGGTGAGTAGTCAGGAAGTCCTCATTCATATTAACTGAGGAAAGACTGGCCTTTCCTTTGGCCATGCAGTACTGACATTGGGTGAGCGAAGCACTTCTACCCTCTAAGCATGAACAGGATCAGCATGATGGAGTGACAAGTGGAATTCATCAGCTCTATTTCCCTGCTTGTGCTCTTGCTCCCGCCACTTTATGTTATCCATACAGCAAAGCAAAGAGACAGAGGAATCAATATTCAAGTAAAGAAGCAAAATAGGACGTTTTTAGAAATCAGCCCCAAAGGCTTCAGGGAGTCTGCCCACACCAGAGAGATCCACAGAGCGCATCCCAACTTGTCTGTACTGAGCAGACAAAGACAAGGATTGCATCTGACTACATACCATGTGCCAAGACACAGGGGGACTGGTAGGACACTGGAGTGCATTCAAATGTGGTATTTTTCTGTGAACTCTATCCTTCTGTTCTCTTCCCCTCCACACACACCCCTGCTGAATTCTGTGGGACCACCAGTGTCTTGATGCAGCTCCCCCAGGAGAAGGTGGGACTAGGGGCCATGTCTCAGTTGCTAACTTGGCATCCACTCCTCCCACAGGCAGTCAGCCCCGGGCTGTGCTGACCAGAGCAGCAGAGTGGGACCCTGAGCTGACCAGGAGCTGACATAGTCCGACCACCTCCAAGGACTTGTCTTTGGTCCGGGCACCTTCTTCTTGCTCAGGTTTCAGATGCTACTCTCTTGCCTCTCCACTCCACAGCTACTACCACACGCTTTCCTCTGGGGCTCTGCTTTTCCCAGACTGGCTGCAGAATAGCAGGCAACACCCACGCCTTCCCTGCAGGTCTACCTCACCCCTACACGCCGAATCTACAATTTTTTTCTCCTATGTTAACCATCACAAGGGAAACAGGGATACAGGGTAAAAATCAGGAATCAAGTTGTGAAAGTTCACAAAAAGCCATAGAAATAAAAATTATTCCTTTTGGCCCCTTCCCATTTTGACTCTGTGAGTAAACTTCATGATGCTTTAGGTAGTTTTTAAAATATGACTTTTGTCGACTCTTACTCTTCTACCCTTGACAGATTTCTCAGTCTTACTGGGCTTTTTTAAATGAAGGAAAGATCAAATGGTATAATCTTGATAACTTGCTTCACAGAATGTTGCAAACTCATTAGCACTATACTACTGAGTTTAATCCAACATTAAAAAAAAATCATCTTTTCAAAATGCCAGGACCGTATATTATTTCACTGTGGATACCAGAGAAGATCTCTTCTTTCAAAGGAAATGAAAGTCAACTAAGTGTACTGAGATTGTAGGATGGCAAAAGAAAATATACTGGATGATTTCACTTCCACAAGATAGCAAAATAACCAAATTCATACAGAAAGTAAAACAGTGTTTCTTAGGGTCAAGAGAATAGAGGGATGGGGAATCAGTGTTTAATGGGTAGAGCGAGATTCAGTATGGGAAGATGAAAAGGTTCTGGAGATGGACTGTGGTGATGTTTGCTTAACAATGTGAATGTACTTAATGTCACTGAACTGACACTTGCAAATGGTGAAAATGAAAAAGGTTATGTTGTGTGTATGTTACACACCCCTCCTCAGTGTGCACTGCATGGTTGGGAGTGAAAATAAAAGATAAAGAGTGTAAGGTGCACAGGAGTGTAAGGCCCTGCAAAGCAAGGTTCTTGCACTTGTCATCCTTTCTCACTGAGGTCATCTCAGAACCAGATACCTTCTAGGTACTGTAGCCGGGTGACAGTGACATTCCACAGACCTGTTAACAGGCGTTCTGTAGCTGTGAATCTGCACCCAGAAGTCTGTGCACCTCTCATATTAAAAGGAAAAAAAAAAAAAGGTAACACAATACCGCTCACCAAGTAATGCAAAAGAAACATTCTTATTTTCTCTGGCTTCTCACAGTCACATACAAAACAAAAGTTTTTTTTTTTTGAATCTGTAATACAAATACAAGAAAACATAGAGGTTTCTTGAATTCTTTGAAATTTCCTTTAAAAACCAGCATCTTCCTAGAGAGATTTATTAAATCCTTAGAAACTGCCAAACAGCTACTTTTCATATAATAGAATTTACTTCAATGAAGATTCCTTAAATACTTTGGCTTTCAAGAATTATCTGTGAAGAGAATATGAACACACTTTCTCCTATTAACACTGAGGCTCATGTCACATGGGAGTACTTTCTGAGAATATTAACATTATAATATCATCCTGAATTTTTTCATTAAGAAAAAGTCACTCTTCATATACCTACAGCAATTAATTATTAAATGCTACAATAAGCTATTCCAGTCTTATTCAAATAAACCCTGAAAAAGTCAGCCTAATGTTAACTTATTCTGGGAAGAGTTCCCTAGTATTTCAGAGACTATTCAGCCTTTTTGGAATCTTGGCTTGGAGTTAAACAGAGTTGGGTGACAACCTTGTCCTATGACTCACTAGCTTATAAGACATTGGCAAGTCACTCATTTTCTTGAGCCTGAATTTTATAATCTGTAAAATGAGTCTTATGTTAATTTATATCCAATAGAATTGGTAAAAGAAATAATAAGATACTCCAAAAAAGAAGGTGCTGCTGCGCTCTCCTACTGCTCATGCTCGCTTTTTATTTATACAGTATTTTATATTCTGGGTCATCTAGCTTATTTCTCATTAGGAGTTTCCTGACTAAAAACTGAGTTTTTGGAAAATCATTGTGACAATATGTGAAAAATACTTAATATCATGCCTGGCACGTATAAAACCACCAGTAGTGGTACGTTTGTCCTCTGGTAGACAACTCATTCATTCATTCACCTACCCATTTATTCATTTTCTAAAACAAACATTTATTGAAAATCTCATTTTATGAAGAGCTTTTCTAGTACTGAAAATATGAGTGAGAAGGACAGATTCTATGTCCTAATGGAGCTCACATTCTAATCTTGGAGAAAGACAATGCAGAGGGAAATGCATGAAAAGTTCAGGGCTTTATCAGTGCTGGAAATTCAACAATCATAGCAATGGGCTGGAGAATGACTCTGGTGAGGCTCCTCTTCAGTGGTCATTCAGAGGAGCCAGAGAACGCTTTTCTGAGGATTTGACATTTGAATGGAGACCAGAGTCTGGGTAAGTTAAGCATGTAGAGATGTGGGACAATGGTGTTTAGAGATTTGAAAATCCATTTGGAATCCAGAATTTGGGGGAGGATTTTAAAAATTAAAGCTGTGAAAATTCTGTCCATTACTTCTTTATACCTTAGAGCACCAGGCCAGACTTGAAAGGCCTCAGAAGCTGGGTGTGGGCTCTGTGCTCACTGACCTGTCATGTTGTAAGTATCTTTAACCTGCTCCTGGGTCAGCTCTTCCACCACCAGCAGCAGGGTCTGTGCAGCTGCCGTTTGCAGGGTATCTGCACGCACTCACAGTGTCAGCAGGTGTGCATTTAGGGCTCTTTTAAATAACATCTAATGATTCTATGGTTGAAGTCTGCAAAGGGAATCCTCCTTTATACACGTGTCTTTCTAGACACGCAGGATTTAGGGTCTTTGTCGTATCAGAACCAGCAATAAGGAAAGGGGCCAAAATCCATGAATGAGCAGACAGTATTGGCAAAATTGAGGACTAAGGCAAAAATGTGAGAATTTGTGTAGCAGAAAATCCAGCAATAATGAAGATCCCAAGGTCGGGTGAAGAGAATGAGGGCCTGGATGAATTCTATTAGACGCAGTAATATAGCTGCATATTCCCTACATAGAATGTCTGCCACTTTGGTCTTCGGCAGGGAAGTTGCTGTTTCACTCACTGAATGAATCTTTCTGTGAAGGAAAACTCCAGTCATTACCAAGTTAGACTCTAAGTTATCACCAGGAGAGAGAAAGACAGAGTGAAATCTTTAGTTGTTAGGCCCTGGCATAGCCTAAGGAATTCAGAAAGTATTAGCTCAATGTGTACTATTTGCTTCAAATTATGCTAAACTGCATGGAGGGCACATTTTGAGGCAGTGTAAAGAAGAGGATCCCAACATTTCAGAGATTTAAGAAACTAAATGGTTTAACCAGTGCTTTAAATCCCTCTCTAGAAGAATTTGAAGCTAAGCTCTACCACTTACTTGTAAACCATGGTGACTCAGAAATCACTCCTATAAATAATGAACAGTCCTAGTTTTACAAAGTATATGTAGGCACCTTATTCACCTCAAAAGCTTTACAAGTGGAAGACTTTCTTTGTTGCAGTGATGGGGAGAGTAAAAGACACCATGGAAATGATGGGTGGCCCGCATGAATGTGGCCACCAGCGCAGGGTCTACACCAAGGATAAGAATTTAATGTGTCTGAGTTCTCCATATAGGAAGTCGAAAGGTTGATTTTTGTCTATAAGTTCTGAGTAATCAAACCCTCAGGGATTGACTCATGACACACAAATTCCAGAGACTGTTATAAACCACACCACCAATGGTTTATTCAAATGTCCTTCCAGTATTAATGTCCTAAGAGTCTTTGATTCTATGATAATCTTGAATCTGTCATCTAATGAATTTCACCTGTAGGCTCACTTTGTATTAAAGCACACAACTCTTTTTTGCATTTTCCAGCTTTGGAAACTTGAGCTGAACCCCTCTTTTTGATTATGGAGAAAAGAGACAAACGTAGGTTAAATAACTCCCCGCAGGTTATGCAAGGTTTCAGAAGGGTGGCGGAGGGAGCAAGGTGGAGATCGTCTGTGTACCCGTTTTTACCACGTCATTGGGAGGCCTGGTAAAATAAATTAATTTTAGAACTCTTTTACGAGTCATTGTTCTCCCATTAAGTGCCTTCAAAAAATGCCCTGACACAGCCTTGATTCAGACTTTTATAAGGTGTTGGTACATTTTTTTCAAAACACAATTGGAGGAATAAATTTGGCTTGCCTGTTAATACCAATATTAGCCTCTTGGTGCACTAATTTGTATGAACTCTCTCATCCACCTTGGCTGCCATTTGGATGCCTACCTGCCCACCATGCTCACATTTTCCCATAGATCAAGAGGGAAAAATAAAATCTAAAATATTTACCAGTTACATCTTGCCTATAAAATATGTACATAGGATTCCCCAGAGAAAAAGAAATGAACTACTAAAATGTTAAAACGCTAAGCTAGACTCTCCTAAATTTGTTCCAGGATATACACGGACTCTCTGTGTATTAACTTAATCATATGGTAGAGGTTGGTATCTATATGCACATTCAGAGGCGCAATATACTTTCAGTGGGAATCTCCCACAGAACTGTTTTTTTGTAAGAGAGCTTAAGGGAATATGAGGAGTGACATTTAAAGATTTGTTTAAACCAAATAAAGTATGCAGAGTGGTGTTTCAAGGGTCAGTAGGCAACATCAAGTTCCCCATGGTTGGTTTGATCATCATTTAAACTATTCTTTTTCATATCATGACCCAACTATCATTAATAACAACTATGTCACACAGCACTAATAGACAATAACAGTCTACAAAACACTCTGAAATTTTAAAAAGCTACTTAATTTCTTGAAGATTCTGAAAAATAGAAATGATCATTGTTACCTGACAGGTCAGAAAAAGGGCTAGGTTAAGACTCAGGTTCTTCTGACTACATTTCTTCATTACATTTCATCTTTTTTGGGGGGGATGCATTGAAAACACACCTTCAGCTATATTTACTCAAAGGAAGCCTAACTGAAATTCACAAAAAATGCTAGCTGTTATTCACTTCACCAAATGTTTCACAACAAAGTTCTTTAAACTCTTGGGGTCTCCAGTGCACTTAGAATATGATCTAATTTCCAAGCCTGCAGTCATATTACTGTAGTAGTACAACTCCACCCTGAAGATTTGGTTACTCAGTAGGGTTGAAGGTGAGGGAAGGAAACCATTTTTATTTTTCTGTAATGGCAAAAAAGGGACAAATCTCTAAATTACCTGTGGGTGGTACA